ATGTATTTTGGTATGTACTATACACGTCGTAATATGCTAAGCCTATGCAACACTAAGTTTTCTAAAATATGTAACATCATGTCTCTTCTCCATCATTTTGTCCAATCAGGGGTCCTTGTCCTGTAAAACGTGTATAGATCACTGCCTTATTGACTGTTGTCCTTAATAATCACATAAAACCGAATGAAAGAGTCAGAAGCAAATATATTAACTGTTAAAACAAACAAACAAACAAACAACAACAACAATGGCCTATACCATAACTAACTACATATTTGACAGATATTAAATTGAATATACATTGATGGTATAATTTGTTTTAGGTGTTGTACATCCATTAGATACATGAATTTCAAAATGTCCAGTATATGGAATCCACTTTGCCCCTGTATGTTTGTCTTTTAAGTTACAAAAGTCTCAGATAATGAGTGACAAGTTGTAAAGACAGATTTTTACTTAAGTAAAAGCACAGAAGTACTTGCTTTTAAAAGTACTTAAGTACCTAAAGTAAATTTCATTTTTTACGTCAATGCACTGTTTTGTTGTTGTATGTAATACTTTCAATACCTCTGAAGCAACTTACAATACATTTTGCTTACTGGATACACAGACTAGCTTGTAGTATCTTAGGAATAAAGAGCTTTTAGAGTGTTAAAAACCTATGACAACAAACAAAAAAATGAACACCCCTACGCAGCCCCACAAAAGCAGCATGGTAGTGATCTCACACAGCTCTGGCAGTGTGTGCACACATCTATGTGTAGCCATTCATCCACATTTGAACAGAGTGGACAGTGAAATTGCTGTAAATACAGACTGATAAGAAAAAAAGAAAAGAAAATCAAACCTGCTTTAAAACCCAGCTACACAACTCTAGCTGTGTAACTTTACACCAGCAACAATGCTTTAACAAAAAAGCAAAACAACAAGATTTATTTGACATCAAAACAAACATTAAAAAATGCTGTCTAATCGCTCTCATGGTACTTTGATGTCTTCAAGTCAAACACCCATTGTGCTTTGTTAGTAGACGCAAAACAGTTCTTCTGTGGCTTAATAGGTAATATTTTTGTTTACACAATTTAGCAAAATCAGACAATATTGTGTCTAATATATACCACAATATTAACTTCTTATTATTGAGTTGTTGTAAATAAATATCGCATTTGCAACTGGTCAGTGTTCAAAAAATGCTGGAAAATCACTTCATGTAACCCTACAAGACACATTTTGGAGAAGAAAAAAAAATACCCATTGACTTTCAAAGCTGCTACATAGTAACAACGTTCTACTTCAAGGACCTTGATAGAAATGTAGTGGAGTGAAAAGTAAGTGAAAAAGTGAAAAGTTTCAAATGTAGTGAATTTAAAGTCATAAGTTTCTAGAAAAAAATAATATTCAAGTAAAATACAGATACTCAAAAAGTGTACTTAAGTACTTAGTTACTGTCTGCCTCTGGTGACAGTGCTCCTGTTTTGCTTTTTTTTTAAACTATAGAATGCAGTTTGTTTAAATTAATCCATGTTTGTGTAAAACTTGATTATTTTATGCTAGCATGATTTTTTTTTAATGCGTGTTTCTGTGAAAACCAGAACATCTGTGTGACCTAGGAAGGAAGAGTGCAGAATCTTACATATTTATTAACCATTTTACATCATATGGTTTGTTTTACATTCTTCCAAATCCTGAAGCTTTCAGGTTTAAATACTTTATTTTGAATCTGAGATTTAGCATGTGTTTGTCTACCTCTGGACTGTACCGTATATTCAATTTTCTTTGTGCAGTATCCAGCCATCTCTTACTGCACCATTTTTGCTTCAATCCTACAACACAGAAATACAAATAAGTACACTGCCATTGTGTTTAATTGATGGCTGCTGTGAGACATACTGCATATTCAGGGTTCACCTTATACTTAGCCAGTGGCATGAGCAAAATGTACTGATGAATCACTTTGTGCTCTATCACAGGGATGCTTCACTCCTCAGGTTTTGATTGGATATGGTCCCGTGACTAAATTGGGTTTTGAAACCAGGACAGGAGTTCTCAGGAGCATGCTCAGGAGACATAATGCACAAATCACCATATCTGCCATATGTAATGAGCTGTCTCTCCTCGGTTGAATTTGCTGAAGTGTCATGGGAGAATTCAAAATAAATGTACCATATCTTGCTAATGATGAAATGTTTGCATAGGACATTATTGTGAACATGCAATACAAGTATATACTTGATTAATGCTGTTTGAATATTTGACCATAGTAAAGTGCTTGATCTATGCCCTTTGCATCATGCAGTGGGCATAAAAACATTAGCAATAACATGATTTGATAGTGTAAACCCCTAGTGCTGGTTCAGCTGATGGAGGTGCATAATGCAACACACTTTCATCACAAAAAAAAAAAAAGAGCTGATAGGTTGATGAGAGAGGCCTTTGTGCATTCCCATACCGTGAACACTAGAGGCAATATTTCTTTGAAAGATGTCTTAATACGTTTTTGGATTTGATGCTCCTGATGCTTTTTCTCTCTTGGTTTGAATGTGGAATAGTTTTGGTGATGCAAGGCTTTCGATACCTGTATTGGACTTTATTCAATGTTGTGGTCAGTTATATCTCAGGTTCAGTCTCTGTAGTTGGTGTGCTTCAATACTATTTTAAATTCAGACTTTGTATATACAGTATATATTTATTATATATATATTTTTCACATGGTGAATTCATATCTCAAGTTTACTACATTTCTTGAAATGTCATTCACTATGTTTAGCTGTAAGAAATTTTAAACATTTTTATAATACTAGTATCCTCTGGATCTTGGTTTTGGCCTGAGCTTTGTGCTAATGTAACATTACTGCATTTGTCATGAAACAGAAATACTGCCAACTAGAAATTAAATGTTTGTTGCAAAGGCACTTGCTATCAGGGACGTGCACATTTATTTTGAGGGGCAGTGGCTGAAATCACTGGGGGTGGGGCAGTTATTGCTTGGCAAATGACATGCTGTGATTGTCACTGTGGACAGATTCGCAGATCATTAATGAATTTAGGTGCATTGGTGCATTGGTGCATTGTCATGGTCTGTTGAGTAAACCTGCCCTTGCTGACAATCAATAATAGTCGAGTTTTTAGGCAAAATTGTTATAGTTCTAGAATTGCACAAGAATTCCTCTCTCAAAACTGAGGTAATACAAAACAAGATGTATTGTGACAACTACCATGCACCATTCTGTCTCAGGAGCTGCTTTTGTGTCAGAGATTAATGAAAACAAAATGCTTTGTGTCATTCGTTCAGACCTCTGAAATAGAGGTACTTGTATCTAATATATATGATAAAACCATTGTAAATCTTCTCATCCTTGCCTTACTTCCATAACATTTAACAGTTTCAATAATTTATGATAATTTATATTACAAAAGTCTTAGCTATCCCATCTCCTAAGTTTGTTACCAGATTCTCCATAGTATTTGGAAGATTGTTAATTCAGACCAAGTACCTTTAACAAGAAGAGCATCGAAGTACTGCTGTTCTTAAAAGGCACTGTACTAAGTCCATGTTGATGCAAGGAGATGGCTGGAAGTGAAATCCTAGCCCCACATTAAATTTGGAAAAGGATGAAAGAGCGCATTCACAGACTGAATATTTAATGCTGCTATTTTGCACGAGGCAAGAGTCTTTTTGTGTCAGAGCCACATGATCCACCCACTGCAGTGTCAGAAAGCATTGTGTACCCCCACATAAGTACACAATCCCCCAACCCTTCTGTCTCTGCGTGCCCCACCATGATTACCCTCTGAAACCCAGTGCTGAAGAGTTTAGCACTTTAGTAAGGCACAGTGCATGACATAAATGCAGCATTGTGGTGTTCTGTGATAGTTAGATCTGTATCTCTAAAGGGGAGGTGTTGTATTAATGCATTAATTAGTAAAGTAGAACAATACATCTCTGTAGCAGTGTAAACCTGTTATTAGAATTCTGCGGCACTATAACCTAAACACATTTCTATATCATTATTATCTTGTTAAAATATCAGTGATACTTAAAAGTTAAAACACACAGTCCCGTCAGATGGAATAGCAGTTTGGAAATTTACTTTTTTACAAACTTCAGTTATTGAAATTCAGTTTTCTGCAACAGTTAATCGGTACAAATAACATAAAAAAGTAACAGCAGAGTGAGTGGTTAATGGATTGTGTCAGACAGACCTTAATATTATGGGCTGCCACATTTGCACTAAATACACTGAACAATACAGTGACAAACAGAAGGCGATCTGTATCATTAAGGTGTATTTTAATCCGAGTAGTAAACAGATGGGCAGACAATTAGAGAGAGAGAGAGAGAGAATCACACCCCATTCACTGGCTCAGTGTCAGTGTGAACGAAGCCGCACTAGTCTCGATTTTACAACATTCCCTTAAACGGCTTCGCCAGGATTCGCAGTGTTCTCGCTGTGCTAGACACCTGACATTTAAATAGCAACTCGTTTCGAACAAAATAAGACATTTCGACGTGAAGGGCAATGCAATGAACTCTACTAGAAGAACTATGAAGAGCTGTAATATAATTAGGAGAGCCCAGATGTTCCGTGAAGTTGTGTGCGCGCCACTCATATACGCCTATAGAGCCTGAGAACGCGCGTTCTTGTGTCATGGGCTCCATTTATTATGTGGATGCATGCAAAGTTATCTGGAATGAACTAGACATGTGTGTGGATCATGTAGCAGTCGCTTGAAAGAGGAATTACGCGTCTGCTGTCTTCGGCACCTGGAATACCTGCGTGACAGGTTACCCATGTTCACATAGGACGTTTTTTAATTGTTGTTTTTTAATTAAATTGTTATTATTATAGCTTTTTTTGCTTCTAAGATGGAGAACGGAAAATATGCTTTATGTAATCTTGTGTGAAACTCACAGCCGTCTGGGTAGATCGTCTGAGAAGGGGATGAGATTTCAGTCCTAATTTTCAGGATCCTCTGGATTTTCGCAAGGAATTGGAGTGAGATCTGGCTAATTTTTCGCAGACAATCCAGTCTCGTTTATTTATTATTCCCAGTAATTGCGTTACCGCGTCGAACAGCTCGTTTAACTGAATACTCGAGATGGCTGCGATCGCCAGTTCTCTGATCCGACAAAAACGCCAGGCGCGGGAATCCAACAGCGATCGGGTATCTGCCTCCAAACGCCGCCCCAGTCCCAGCAAAGACCCCCGCTCTCTCTGCAAGCGACATTTCCTGGGGGTCTTCAGTAAAGTCCGCTTCTGCAGCGGCAAGAAAAGACCTGTTCGCCGGAGACCAGGTCAGTGCTGGATGCTTTTTAAGACATCAGCCCCCACTCGAAGCCTCTGCTGCAGTCTACAGCTCCGCTGGAGGAACATATATCCTCCACTGTATTTTATTTATTTATTTATTTATCCCTCCCCCCAAAGATCCCACCTGTTTCATAGCTCACGTGCTGTCTATTGCTATTCACCAACCGATTTGCCATCCTAACAATCTGACTGCATAGTCGTTTTATGTTGATATATCTGATATGTTTTATTAATGTTATTATTACTGTTATCAATGAATTCAGTGGCTGGAATTCTGACATTTTGATCAGAGGCTGTGTGATTGTTAAAAGAAGAAGAAGAAAAAGAAAAACCTTATGTTTATAGTGCAACAATGCAATTTAATAATAGCCAGAATCCAGTGGCACTGCAGTGCACCAGGGCATTCTTAGATGAAATGGTTAATGGTAAATGTTTGCCTGATGGAAGATCCAGTTTGAACTGCCCAATGAACCACGCTATTGTCCTTTTTCGGCTCACATAAAATGGCACGAAGCGTGTGAAATTATAAAAAAAAAACTACACAGCTGTCCTCTCTTCCTCCTTCAAAACACCTTCTCATGATGTAGAACAAACACATCCCCTCTTCCCAACATATGATCAGTTATTTGATGGCTGTTGCTGTAGGATTTGTCTGTAAAAATGCTGTTTTTCCTTCTCCCCCGTAAGATGCACCCTCGAAACCTCCACAGGTGTCCCGTAAGGGCGTCAGGCTAGGTCAGTAGCTCAGCCTCCATCCTTGTGCTGTGTCTTCCAGTTACCCACCCCATTCGTGCTCATAGGGGACTAGCTCCTGTCTAACGGCAGTCGCCAATGTCTGCCTTGTCTTTGTAATATGCTTCTGACTATTGTTCTATTTCTCCGTCTTTGTGTTATTTTTATGTACAGTATGTCTTCTCCTCTCTGTCTCTTCCACCTTTTTTCTTTTGTACCTTCTTTACTCCCCTCTGATCCCCTTTTTTGGTCTCTACTTATTATGTTTCTGTCCCCATTGTTATGTGTGATCTGTCCTCTCTGTCTGTTTCCATGCAGTGAGGCTCGTGTATGCTCTGTGCTGCTGATGTGTCATGTTTCTTCTGTCAGTTGTGGTGACTTAATTAGTCGAGGATATCATTCACCATTTCATGATCATGAGATCATTTATCAGCACATCCGATTGTAACTGTTTTTGTTCATGAAATGGGGCAATATGGAACATGTATGGTTCAACAGAAATATAATTGCAAGGGGAAAGTATGCAAAGTGTTGATGCAAATATGACATGCATTATCTCATGCATACATCCAGGTGAACACATGCTCAAATGCACATGTGAGTGCATACATTCCTATATGAGTAGAGACATGCATGTACATTAATCTCACAAACTCACAAACATGTGAGGAACATGTCTGAGTCATATTTCACCGTCACAAATCCAGTGAAAGCAGAAATATTATTTTACACAAAGACATTTAATCCCATTTTAGTGGGGTTTTTTTTACATTGTGACATTATTTTCATAATAACTATGTAATTTTCTTTTAAATTCTTATTTTGTAATGTAAAAATCATCCTCGTTACTGTAATCTACTATAATCAATTATTATATTATAATGATGTATATCATTAATATTTGTTGTACTCTTAAAAGACATGAATGCATTTAACCTGCAATTACAAATGCATAAATAATGTTTTGATATAAACATAAAACGTTGAATACTGATATTTGAAATGATTTAAAACATTAAAAAAAAATAAAAAAAAAAAAAAAAAAAGGCTCCAGATGCATTAGGGATAAGAATTTGTAATGACAATATTGTTTGTTTGTTTTTGTTTTTGCTTCAGGGGAAGTATGACCTGGACATGTTTTCAAGAGATTCAGCACACACTGACCCACATACATGCATTAAACCCAAACCTTTCTCCCCAGGTTAGAGTCATTTCCTATGGGGTCCCCTACATCAGTTTTTATTTATAGAGGTGTGGATTCTGTATGTGATTTAGTAATGTTCTTCCAAATGGATGTAGATAGGCTCGTTCATATGATTGATGGCCCTTCCAGCCTGTCAGAGATATTGGGTCTGCAATGGATAGATGGGGTCCTAGATGAATAGCTGATCATGACCATCATGGACATTCACAACTCTTCTGAGCTCTAGTATTGAAAGCTGTGGAACTTTGCTGCATGCCAGGTCATCCATGTGGCCTCTTCACTCCTCACCTCTCAGGCCTGCCTTTAAACATTTATTTTTATTGTACCTGCTTGTACAGGTCACCACTCCACCAGAAATCACCTGTTATGGCTACAGCTGGTCTTCTAAACTCCATGTGTCCATAGTGAAACTGATTAATGAGGTTGCAGAGAGCAAATATGCAGAGCTTTATCAACACAGCCATTCACAAGTACATTCACTGCCATCACTGGATAAGAAGTCAATAACTTATTTAGAATAATTTATTTCTTCTTAACAACCTTTTGTTCACATGCTGAAAAAATTTGTTGGGGTAAATTCTGATAAATATGTGGGTTGGGGCGGGGCTGTGTGTTTATTTTCCAGAGCCGCAGCTGAAAGGCATTGTGACACGACTGTTCAGCCAGCAGGATTTTTACCTGCAGATGCAGCCAGATGGAACCATCGATGGCATCAAGGATGAGAACAGCGACTACAGTGAGTGATTGGAACTGCAAATGTGCATGCAAAGCAGAGTTAATTGTACCACACTAATTGCATATAGGGGAGAACGGGGCTTGGTGTCACACTTTTTATCTCAGCGAACAATCTTCAGGGTTGGTTTATTTATGAAAGTCTGTTTATGTACAATCCTTCAGCACAATCCTTAAAAGGATAGTTCACCCAAAAATTCTGTCATTAATTACTCACCCTCATGTCAGTCCAAACCCGTAAGATCTTTGTTCATCTTCGGAACACAAATTAAGATATTTTTGATGAAATCCAAGAGCTCTCTGACCCTCCATAAACAGCAACACAACTGAAATGCAGCGCATATTCAGGTTTTCGCTGAGGAGCCGAGCCGGTGACCCGGCCTCTCAGCGGTGGTGCATAAGCTGTGGCGACGGGACGTGACGTCTCCATTCCCTCCTTCAGGGAACGCGGGTTACAATACGTAACCGAGATGTTCCTTTTCAGTCGGTCACTCTCGACGTCACGTCGGATGACCGACGAATTGGGATCCCTACCAAAGGGCCACAGGTACTGCCCCTTCCAGTGTCCTGTGGAAGCCTCCTGTGCCCCTTCTTTTTGGCGCAGGTCGGGGCTTACCACAAGAAGATCAGTTACTGCTGCTATGGCACTACCCACTCAGTAAGACTGGATAACACTGGGAAAACGTACGTTTCAGAAGCACTTACCCACATGGACAACCGCTTAGGTGCATATGGAAGATTAGAGGTGATTGTAACCCTCTTGGAAATGGCAGAAGTCTGCCGGGGAATCACGGGCTCTGAGGCTATACCGTGGACTTTACACATATGGGATCCACTTAGGTCTCTACATATGGAACCCAGCCCTCTATCGGTTCTCACGGATTCATCGAGTGAGGGCCTGGCGCCGGACGCTCCGCCACGTCTGGCTGCCGAGGGGACGGAGGAGCTCGACAGGGTCTACGATATGGACTCTCTGGAGTGGTTTTAGCAAGCCGACCCGAAGCCGGGGCCTCTCAGTGCTTCAACCCGTTTGAGGTGAGAACACAGGAGGATACCGGCTCCACACGAAGGCTATAGAATCTAGCGAACGTGTTGGGGGTTGCCCAGCCCGCGGCTCTACAAATATCTGTCAATGAGGCACCACGACAATTTTTAAAGTCTAATAAATATTAAAATTGATAGCTCTCAATTATATTGTAATGTTGAATGGCTATAGTCAATTGGTAAATATTAGTAAAAAATTATTTTATAGAGGCATCAGTAGTATTGGTGTCAGTGATACTGGCCTTCAGTCATAAAAAAATATGCCATTAAAAATATACTGTCTTTATGTTGTTTCTACATTAATTTGAAGATTAAATGTGAAAATATTGCAATATAAAAGTATATTTAAAAACTTTAATGTTAGGTGGGATTAATCGCGATTAATCACAATTAATTTCAGAAAAATTTGATTAATTAGTTAATTTTTTTAATCGATTGACAGCACTAGTTTTTTTTTTAAACGAAGCATTAACACATGTTAGACTGCACCCCATAAACACAATTACCGCTCCTGAGCGCTATTCGAGGCTTAGTGTATCCCATCATGCATCATGTTCTGGAAATAAATCATGAGACTTTTTGCCGAG